GGGAAACCATGCAAGACAATCATCTCGCAAAATCTGAAACTCATAGAAAAACTCCATGCACCAAAAAAAGCCTATTTCTTAGGTATGGGTTGCGTGAATTCCATGTCCGGCCATCCCGACAAATATACATAGTACATAAGAGGTCAATCCATGTATTCCACGTTGCCATTCAGGGAAAATCCTCCATGGAAGATGAACGGATTTTCATGAGTGAAATGTCAATCTAAATTTAATGCCGTGGATATAATTATTCTTACATACAATTCCAAAAATCCTACGATTGCAAAGCAATAAGACCAAATTTCGACGATAAGAATAGCACTGTCGTGAATGCCTTCTTGTGCGATCCGCACACTCATCGTCGGCCGAACTGAACCCGATATTGAAATTTCCGATCTGACTAGTCCAAAGCCCAATTAGGACTTTGAGCTTCACAACTCGAGGTCTCATTATGCGCATTCGCTCGCGCCCGACCGGGAAATCGATTGCCAGCCTCGCTACACGCCCGATGCTTCGGTCCCATCGGTTCTATCGAGCCGATCCGCATCCCGACCGAACTCAAATTCTTCCCCTATTCCACTCAGGTGCTCGAAATCAGAACGGAGACTCTCACTTCGAGGCTACTGAGCCGACCTCGCAGAAGACTTGCATTAAGTTGCTTCAGATTTCCCTAATGACGGAATGCTTCCCCAATGTTTGAATTATTTAAATCATCTCTGCAGTAAAAATAAAGTTATGTTGCTTCATAACGCTACAAGACGGAATAACTAAATATGGCTACATGCGGAAAAGTTGTCGTCTCTGATGACGAGAGCCCCCCCCTCCCAACCATTACTCCATTTGTTTCTTTGGAATTCCAAATTCGTCCGGTGTGTATCTTTTAAAGTATATAATTACCAATCGAAAGCTCATGGAGGCGATACTTATTGGGTCAAAAGTTGAAAAAGTTCAACTCCTCTCACATTGGAGGGTCTACATTTGGAGATAAGAACAGCATTGTCAGGAATGCCTTCCCTGGCAAAGTTCTCATAATCCAACAATGAGAGAACGAGGCATCCGCGGCTACGGAAGAGTTGCTGTGGTAGCGGCAAACAATCATCATATCAATCATAGTAGTTTTGTTGTGTTACCAGTCTCGTCTCGGGTTTAGAACAGGGTTTCAGGCAAATCTGTAGCATTCAGTTAGAGCTCCATGTTATTACTTTCCTTTTTTTTGGTGTTGCTCACAAAATTCCGTGAAAAAGGCGGGAAGTTTAACCTATTCTCCGAAGGGATATGCTGAACATGCGAGAAATAGAGACGTTCTGGTGTGGCAGTCACCGGATGGAAGACAACGGCGTGCACAAAATGCTGTTTCCAAGGAGAGTGAAACTGGCGAAGAAAAGGGAAGAGAGGCATGAACAATATTCTTTGCCTGGAGTTATTTCGGCCCGTGCGTGCACGGGCTTTTACACTTGTGCTCAATAAGTTTGTGGTTAAAGAAAAGTTCAATTAATGTTCATTGTAACCTTGTCAGGCTAAAATGGAAAACAAATAAGCTTTGAAATCGGACATGGGCCAAATGGACACTATGGACCGAAAAATGCTCTTGAAATACAGTTCATTAGGTATGGAACGGTGGGTTAATGTTATATACGTAAAAATGTAAATTCAAAGAGCAAAAGGAAATGTTATATTCATTCGTAATGCTGCTGCCCCTATGATTATTAGAGCCGTTGCTAGGCTGGACCGTACACAGCATAATCGATCGCCACGAATGACCTTACTGATATAGCATGCGTCATGAGAATGACCTGGATCGGGAGGTTGGAAGGCAGGATAGGACGTTAGAAAGTCAGGGGCGACCGGGAGTCGAATCCGCGACTTGAGTCTCACTTCAATATATCACATCTTGAGCTAGTTCCCCCTCGTTCGGATGTGACCATACAATAGACCAAATCCATCGCGCTCTATGTTATAAACCCTTCAAACCCTGTTTATTCGGAACACAAATATGCCTAAAATCTTGATGGAGTGATGAGACAAGGTTGAGGGAGTAATCATAGCTTGACTTCAATCTAATCTAAGAAAGTTTGCATTCATATTTTCCTGGTTATTATTGGTTTCGCTCACAGCAACATGTAGGAATGAGCTAACTGCAAGAAGAGGTGGGGAGCATCAATACAACTCCAATCATCTCAAAGCAAATATGTAAAAAAAGAGTTTCTTGGAACATGGAAAAAGTAGTTAAAAGAAAGTTCTCCTACAAAACCAGTGCAATCGATTACGAGGGTCCGCTGGAGAACAACCGATGACGCTATACGGATTCTAGACATAGGACCACATGATTTCTATTGATCTGGCGACCAGGCCTATCCAAGATCACTAAAGGGGTGCAGGCGCATAAGTATGGATTCGGGAGAAGAAGAAAGAGTGACATCTCAGTAGCCAAGGGACTCTTATATTGAGTGTAATACTTCAAGTTCAAATAATCTTTGTATGTGACAGCTTCATTTCAGAGAAGGTACCATTCTTTATTTCCTTGGACATTCATCACGTACATCTTGAGGATACAAGCATCGAACACAGATTCATTAAATTGAACATTACGTTATGTAAACGAGTGTCTTCTAACCCCGAAAATTCTTCTTAGAAGCATGAGTCTTCCGAAAGAGTGACTTCGACCTCAAAGAGTTTCATTAGGTAAGTCCTCGCAAAGAAATCGAGAAAAACGATCCCGTCGCACATGGATGACAACGGATTACGGGCACGATTATTGTTTTCTCTCTTGCTAAGAATATATATGAGTGACGAGTGGTATCGGTATTGATTTCAATTTGATTTAGGCCCGCTTTTGCCTCTTGCCAGTCGTTGAAAGTCATATTGAACGAAAGTGAGATGAAATCAGTGAATCTGGATTTTCTCAAGATGGAAATATGGAGTTAGACGCCTCCGGAGACAGAAATGCCGAACGTCGTACCCCAGTATTTGGCATGTCTGTGTCACGCCCTTTCATATTTACATCGGTAATCTTTCGAATCTCAGCGGTACCAAACGTTACTACCATCGTCACGCTGGTGAACGTACACTGCATGTTCTGCAACCAGATCAGAACTGAAATGTGGGACACTTTCCCCAAGATGCGCTTTAGCTGTTAAAAGCTTCAAGCCAACAAGGATGCTAAAGGACAAGCGCCACTAGAACTTACGAGTCTGTCCAAATATGGTATAATCCCCTTTCTAGAAGATGCAATATATCATTATTATATGGATTAATAAATATAAACTTCTCAGTTGACACTTTTGGAGTGGAAACGGGTTAATCAAAACTAGACCGTTATGCAAGATTTTACGCAACCAAATTTGGAATTCTTAATAGACCCTAGGAACCCCACTCGACGAATTGTAAGCAATTGTTGTACTATGGTTGTAATCGTCATGATATCATAATTCGCGATTTTACGGATGACCCATGCGGAACATGTCGAGTTCAGTTCACAGACAATGTTGCATGTAACCAATTTCAAACATGGTACAAGGAGTCGACAGCGATTATATATCCCATTTATATATCCCTCTTCGTTAGATGATTCTGTTGTTACAAATATTTGAGGTGCCTTTATGTAGTTCACATGAAATTCGCGCTTCCGCCTTCTATTAAAGAGGAATTACGATATATGACGTCATACTCGTCATTTATCGGCACGAGAGGTACAGCGTACGGTTGAGTGTCTAGCGATTTTTTCAATCAGGTATGCAGCCATCACGATTTCGATAGCGTCTGGACAAAAAGACTGGCTTGGATCCATGGCTTAAGTTAAATGCAGGATGGGAGGTTAATAAGTGATACTAGAAGGTGGTAAGTTGTTTCCAGATTGGGAAAACTCAGAGCTTCCATGGAGATTCATCTTGGGAAGACACAATGATTTGAAAAGCCCGCACTTACTAACTCCCCTGTTTCATCTCATCCCATTCCTCTCTTTTGATGGTCTTCGGTCACTCTGTAATGGAAATCCAAACATTTAGCTTTCCTTAGTCATGATGGTGATTCCTTATTTTCCGCTTACGTATTCGATGAAGCGCAGAAAAGGAAAAGAAACACGGAAGGACCAACTACTTCGTTTACATAAATGAAGAAGTTAATTCATAAAGCTAATTTATTTATTAGTGACTAAGAAGTTTGCTTATCCTGCTTTCGTTAGGGAGCAATTTAAAATATTGTTCACATCTTTTCATATTTCTGCTCGTTGTCCAGTTCAACCCAATATCCAATAATTTACATTTTTTTCCCAATCATACCTATGCCATATTTTATGCAGCAATAATTATTCATGGCATCATTTGGTATTTCATATCTTTGTGTTTCGTCATAGGATTTGTGATGGAGATGAAGGAAGCTGAGGTGAAGACTTCCTAAGAGAAAAACCTCGAGTTGAATCATGCTTATTCCTGGGTGAGTCTCGTCGCTGTAGGTGAAACTTAGCAAGCACATCATTCACAAGCCTTGAAAAATATTCGCTGAAATATCCTGGACTGGGACTCCTTGATGGGGAACCAATGGCTTGATCATTTATGCCTGTCGTGGGCTCCAAAACCATATTATATGTTGTTTTGGCATTGGGAATGATAGTAGGCATATAATCCAGAAATATATTCACAGGACGCCTCAAGCAATTCTTTGCCTTGAATTTTCCCAATGTTTCAGAGACATGTGCTACTTTTTAACTTTGCTGGTGCTCTCCTACCTGTTCTGGGATGGATCATCCACGGATATCGTCTTGTATTATGCCGTGCACCATGGACAACGATATGGGAACGTATCCCGGCAGTTCAAAGCGGATGACATTGGGCAATGCAACATGGAATGTTCGAAGGACAACCCCTCCCGGCCTTGCTTTGCTTTCAACTTCAGGGAAAATGATGGATTCTGCAAGCTCATTCACAACGAGAGGAGCGATCTCGTTCCCTCAGAGGAGTACTTAGCATTTGCTCAATGTTAGTCCAACTCAGTATGAGAGTATAATGCAAGTAATAACTCATTCCGTCAAATGCTCATTTTATGACTGACTATAACATCTGTCTTGCTTTCTAGACTTTTTCTTCGTACGAAAATTGAGTCTGCACAGCCCTTTTTTTTTAAAGAAAGCCGTCTTGTATTATAAGGTGAAATTCAGGTTGTTCAGAGGGTCACATTAGCTACTTCAAGCCCCATCCTTCATGGTCATTTGAAACTGATATAAACCAGTTGCCGTTGAGTTTAACACGAACTAAATAATATAAGAAAAAGTGGATTCCATTTGTGTTTCATGAGTTCCTGCAGAAAGTGTTTGATGAAGGAAAGCCTATAGGCGTCGAAATCGCACTTAATAAACCATGAGTGTATGACAATGATGTCTCAATTTGCAGTAAAAATTATTTCATTTTTTTCATATGGATATAATCCATCACAAATGAAGCATCACAAATGATTCAAGTTTTCCACCTTAGGGAATGAAAAAGAGTAACGGAAAATGGGAAAATGCATGCAACCAAAGCCAATGTGTGAATTTCGAAACGCAAATGATCAAGGACTTCGCCATCATATGTAATTTCCTCACAATGGTCAGCAAACGAAGATGGCAGCGCCAGCAGGAGTCCTGCAGATTTCTGTATCCATTGCGTAAGTTGTCACACTTTCAAGAGTTCACATGTACAATACTTTAAAGTACCATTGTTCCATATTGAAAGTATTTATAGTTATGATTGGATTTTTTGGAAAAATTTAATGTCCTTCCCATTTTCTCAACGATATCGTAGATCGAGGGAAGAAAGGCAAAGTTCTGAACAAACTCGATATGGGGAGGTCTTGTCATCATGCTAAGCTCAATTGGGAAGCTAACCATTGTTTTCTTGCGCATTCCTTTAAAAACCCCATTGTTTGCAATAAACAAGTGTGTTTCTCCAAGAGACTAGGATTGATTCCAGAGCTCGAGCATTTTCTTCCAGTACGCTCCTGGCGCATCGGATCGTGCTTGATAGTAAGCCCACATGACGTCAATGTTCATGGATTTTCTTCATTTCATACATTTCCTTGCAGGGGCATGTTTTCTGAAGCAGAGGAGGGTTGACTGTCAACCCTGGTCTCTGGGACAGAGCTTAGTACTTCACAAGTAGCCCTTACTCGCACTTCTGCCTGGTGAGGAACAGGAACGTGAGAGCCTCCGGTCGCCAACTTTTCACTGACTGCACCGGTAGACCTGCAGCCAGCGCTGCCCTTTTTATCCTGGGTGACGCCCGAGCCAGTATGAATTTTCCTTAGTTGTGGCATCATGTTTCCATGAGTGTGAGGACCTGGCAGGTGAGACGCGTAGGCCACAGCCACCTGTTGCACTGGGTGCACATGGTAATCCTCCGATCCATGGGACACCACGGCCGTTGGACTGTCGAGAGTCTCATGCGTCCTCTATCGGTGAAGTTCCCAGCACCGCCTAAGGCAAGCAATTATGACTCTTCCAAAGTGTTGAATAACATCACTTGGAAGCTGTGCAACCTGGTTTATATAGGAGAAGCGGGTTCGACATTCCGACTCCGCTTTAAAAACCACAGTCCTCTACAGGGTCGTGCAAAAGTTCCCGTACACTTTGAAAATTTACTTTTTCACTAATCAAGGGATTTTTGGCGATTCTGTTGTGTTTTTTTTTTATTCTACGGACATTTTTAATATGAAATGTTTTCATTATAGTAAATTTCAGTCTTTATTTGAATTATTTTCTCTGGAGTTATGACGCCTAAAGAGAATCGAAGCGCTAATCGAAGTGTACGGGAACTTTTGCACAACCCTGTATTCCTCAGGGAATCAAGAATCTACTGGTTGCCTTACACTTCCCAGAGCCACAACACTCTTCGGATGACATTGAGGTGGACATAATTGGAGGTGGATTTTCTGTTGCAACTTCAAGAACACAAGGAGATTTACCTCCGGAAAACTTCTACCATGGGTCTCAATAGCGACGTCGGCTTCCTGTCTTAATATCCATTTTTCCACCTAAAAAGGTGTCAACAATGATAATGTGTGATGCCTACTTGCCTGTACTCCTGATGAAGTCTTCAGAATAATACGAAACGTCGAACCATCGTGGTGTCATGTTGGAACATTTCTATGACCCGTGGCATCGAGAGTTGCCATGAGTATTATTAGCCACGCACTTGCAAGCTTTTTTTTTTATAGATGCATCGTTCGCAGTGGCGTTTTTTAGGGGGGGGGCAACTGCCGCCCCTGGTGCCCTCTTAGAGGTAAAAATTTCCTACGCTGATATCGCTCGGGTGGGTTTTCGAGCCCCGCTCTGTTACCCTGCTCCCCCCCCCTCGGACCCTTCAGGAAAAATACGGCAAAAATGCAATGGGCAAATTTGAGTATTTGCGAAGAGCGAATCGTGTTACATTGACGTACTTTAAGACATACGTGCATCATCATGATGATGAAATAACTTTTGCAAGTAATATTGCTCGAGTTTTGGGATTTGTGGCTGGCAAAGAATATGCTTGTCAAGAGGAACACTTGGCAGAAAATGCCTGGGATTTTCAGTCTACCTTTAAACTCGCATGCAACATTTCCGCACCAGTTTATATCAGTGGAAAGATCAGCCCTTCACTATGTCTCATTTCTCCCTCTGAGTTTGGGGAAAAGGTCCGTTTCAATCCGGTATATTACAGACCTGTCGCCGTGAAAGTAATATCCCCCACATTTTCCCGGAAATAAATGAGGGAGTGGTATTCGGTTTAACTCTCATTTCCTGTCTATCCATGACAGTGTCAACACCTTACCCCTGGTCACGTGCATTCTCACTGAGGAATGAATAACGTTCCTTCCATTCCACCCACTACCGATGAGTTTCGACAACTCCTGTCTGGAACGTTTACGACGTCTCCTTCCCGACAGTTCGGTAGTGGAGGAGGTCACATGGTCAGGTCTTATCTGTCTACTTCGAGGACTCACGCGTTGCTTCTTTCGTCGTTGTCGTCATTACATCCGCCAACGAAGATGGCGAAAAGAAAGAACGAAATCAAAGTTGAAGTTGAAGCAGGTGAAACAGCATGAAACTCTTTCGAGAAAGAAGAAGGAAGCAAAATCTATAAAAGGGAACATTTCTAAACGAGTTATGTAGTCAGGGACTGGTAATCGACTTCGACACAAGAAGAAAGTTATTTCTAAATCGCGCAAGACACAGGATATTTTTGGTTGAGTTTCACCATTAGATAACTTGCACCCCTTTCCTTTCATATGGCTACTTCAAGCTATTACCTTCCAATTTCGGGGAATATAACAACAATCTCATCACGGTTTTCTCATCCAAACTTTCACCGAAAGTTTGATGAAAGTATCACCGGCTGGAGATATGAACGTTATTTACCGAGTAATGCCATCCCGTCGCAATCTGGTAATAATATTCAAGACCGTTATTTGGACTTCATCATTCCACCATGCGACCATCTGTTTGATGTAGAATTCGTCTTATGTGTTTCGTGTACCGTTCTGAGAGGTGACGATACCAAGACGAACCCGATTGGATCAGAAGATAACGTGGGAATATATTACACCGCTCAGAATGCTCTCCAGTCTCTGTTTTCTAGCGTTGAACTTTTCTGGAATAGGGTGGTCGTAAATGAGAAAACGGAAACATATCCGATCAGCTCCTTTCTTCACCGCCTTGGGAGCATGAGCCAGATAGAAAAAATCACATGGGCCAGAGCCGGTGGGTGGTACGATTTTGAATTGAAAGAAACGGATGTTAACGATGCGGAGCTGCTCGCCGACTGGCAACGGAACCGATGGTTTGGTAGTTCCACTGTGGAATTAATGTGAAAACTCGACCTGGACTTGTCAACATGCCCGTTTCCAATCTTACCCAAAAGTGAACTCCGTTTGCGTTTGACGAGAAGTTCCAATACGTTTTTCATTTCATGTCCCGATAATGGGCTTAAGGATTCGAACTTAAAACTGGTTTTGCAAAGTGCAGAGCTTCATGTGAAAAAGGTGACTATTGTTCCCTCGGCGAATCCGGCATTGGAGGCTGCACTGAGTGGATCCGCATTGCATTATCCCATGGAGAGAAGAGTTTTAAAGACACACGCACTCCTAAAGGGAATAAAAAGTTACCATTGCGAGAATGTATTCGGTTCTTACATTCCAAAGAGAATGGTTCTTGCTTTGTTTAGCGAAACTGGTCTGATTGGAGACTATGGCGTTGATCCTCTCAAGACAGAGAATGCTCTCTGCAATAATGTGTCGGCAACGATCGATGGGATAACGATGTACAGTGTGAACCTCGATGCCGAAACGAATGCCTTCACACAACCCTACCTTGTGACACTGGATGCAATAGGAAATGCCAATATGGAATTAGATTTCAAGTCCTATGGAACTCGTCGTTTCATAATTTGTTTCGACTTGAGTTCAAACCACAATGGCGATCTGGCACAATCAGAGCAGCCTCTATTTAGAACCGGCTACCTAAAGTTGGGCATGTCCTTTGCAAAAGCTTTAGAAAATAACCTGGTTCTAACACTCATGGGTTACTTTGATACACATATCGAGGTGACCAGAAACCGACAACCCTACCTTGTTACAATGGATGCCGTCGGAAATGCCAATATGGAATTAGATTTCAAGTCCTATGGAACTCGTCGTTTCATAATTTGTTTCGACTTGAGTTCAAACCACAATGGCGATCTGGCACGATCAGAGCAGCCCCTTTTTAGAACTGGCTACCTAAAGTTGAGTATGTCCTTTGCGAAAGCTTTAGAAAATAACCTGGTTCTGACACTCATGGGCTACTTTGATACACATATCGAAGTCACTGGAGACAGACAAGTATTTGCAAGATTTCCTCTTTGAACATCTGCTCGGAGTATAAATGGGGAAATCTCGCTGTGAAGTCGTGCAAAATGGATTCGCGCACGATCGATGCGGTTTTGAGACACCATCCCGCTTGTTTGGGAAAATATCGCGGGACCTACGCATCAGATCAATTGGAGAAACTATCGTTCCCAAACTTCCCAGCATGTATCGTTTCCAACTGCTGCAGTCGAGAGAAACGTGGACGACATTTCGTTGCCATGTTCCTAGAGAAAAAGGGTCAAGTGGAGTTTTTTGATAGCTTCGGTCGGTTTCCGGGTTTTTATGGGCATGCCTTTGAAAAATTTGTGAGGAAGCACGGGGGAAAATTGGCTTTCTACAGTGACGTTCAAGTTCAGAGCTCAAGCGCAAAAACATGTGGGGCCCACGTCATCTTCTACCTCATTCATCGATGTCTGGACAACAACATGAAAGAGATCTATCCCCTTCATCTTCCCCCATCATATCATGACACAATTGTAAACCGTTTTTTGCTGACCCTCACATCAGAATTAATAAACAAATAAATGAAGTGCACATCTCCTGTTTCATTTGCAAATTCTCCACATAAACATGTCTTTGAGTAAAATGATCTTTTTCTCGTTTGCACGAATCCCGCAATGGGCAGGGTTAACACATTGTCTGGTTCGCGCATCATTAGACAGATGGAAATGGTCATGGAGTAAATGTTTTCCTTCCATTTCCCCGTTGCTGACAACAGAGGCTGATTTTAAAAAAGCAAAAGCCACCATCACCTTGTAGCGTCTTTCATTCTGCCAGTTCCTCCTTTCTTCGTTCAGAGTGAGCTTGACTTGTCCCACCCTCTGTGAACTCCTGCCTCCCGTAAGTTCACAAAGATTCAAATACTTTCCATTGCTTATTGAGATGTTTATAAGCTCAACTTTCCCATATCACTTTCCATAGATAATGTTCTTCATCAATTTCATTCTCGTTTTCAACAACATGATTTTCAAAGTATACAAAGTCGTTAGAAATGGATGAATGAACCATTATTGGGATGTTATTCCCTTTACTAGGATCATGTACGTTATCAGGGTGCACTCTGCGGAGGAGAGGGATGATGCGATGGTGCTGTTATCAGTATTAGCGCATGTGAAATTGGAGGCGACTTCTCCACATACTATCGTTCTAAGACTCGAAGGAGATAATCGACTCCGGAAAAAGACCATCGAAGAGAAACTCGGGAGTCTACGTTCGTCCGTGAGATGGCATGCAGACGACGCAGACGTCGAAAAATGTCTGAAGACGGAGGAAGTCC